AAGATTTAATATTATTTTTTGTAAATCATTTCGAGACATATCCAATAACTGTAAGTATATAATAAAAAAGTGAATAAGACACTAGTGCTTGCATTTAAACGTGACCTGCATCGAAACATAAGGCTCAAATGTATTTACGATTTGCGTTAGATGTATTTGGAGTTTTTAACCAATAAATACATTGACTGCACGAATGGTGTAGTGGTTTAAGCGGTACAAATTGTTGTTCTGAATGTGTCCATTCATATATGTTTGTAAAGTCCTCCGCGGCACAGGATATATTGCTAATGCAGAAGTTATTTTTTCGGAAAAGGAATTGTAAAAGAATAGGAAAGGATTTGTATGTAACTTGTTTTGTATTAACGTAAGAGATAGCCTAGTTTGTTTTAAGCGAGGGGATGTAAACGTAAATGATTCACCTATAAACAATTTCGTATAAGGACGTTTAACCAATCGTGTTTCCGCATTTGTAACAATAGCGTCCATAGTGTGAAATCAATAACCCATATGTGTGACTCATAGCATTTCACTTCAATAACCAATACATTTAACCGAAATCGGTTTACTATTTATTAATAACAAAATAAATAAATTTGAGGGTCTCTCTTATCTGCACCGGGGACTTCCTTTCTAGGGTATACCTTGTTTCTTGGCTATTAGTACCCGAGACGGCGTGCGGTTTTGGTCAGTTCGAGTCCGACATGCCACCGATAGGTGGTATCCAAGGGGATTACCGCACGAAAAAAAAAAGGGTAGCTCTTATCTCCAAGTAAAATTTACGAGCTAATTATTAATCAATATAGAGAGTATATACCAAGCTCAATAACTTGCGCCGCCACAACGGTCATGTCAAGGGGTATTAAGGACTATAACATCCGAATACTATCCGACAGCATGGCCGTCCTAAAGGCATTAGAGGGCAACACAATGACCTCTAGTGTTGTCTTCGAATGCCATCAAGCATTGGCGCAGCTTGCCACATTAAATGAGGTACTCCTCCAATGGATTAAAGGGCACAGTAACTCACACGGGAACGACGCCGCGGCAAGGAGGGGCTCGGTAACCCCGGCTACCGTCCCAACCATACTCCTACCACTACCGTTCAATCAACTACGATTCTGGGCCAGGCAATGGACTCGTGAAGCACATAACCGGAGGTGGAAAAACTCACCCGGCTGCAGACAGCAGTCGAACAGCAGAAAAAAAGAAAAGAAAAACAAAAAGGGTATGCGATTCTACAATAAAATGCCAAGCAAATTTCATGAATTAAGTATTAACAAATATAAGTCCTTAGTTAAACAAAAACTATGTTAAAATGATTACTACACGGTTACAGATTATTTAGATGACAAATTTGCTTGGGATTGATGCTGCTCACTCCCACATTTGAAAGTGATGAACATTTTTTTTGTTGGAATTTGTATTTCGTTTGTTTTCAATTTGTTTATTTAAAATTGAATTGTATAGTTTTTTTGTGTAAGTATGTAAATGTGAGTATACGAATAGTGTAGGCTTGTAATGTTAGTTCATTATTGATAACTTTCTAGTGATTTTAATTGTTTCCACGGCATACTCAAGTGTCCTGCAGGCGATAGTGTCGTGTTCCGGGTTGTTGAGACTGACTATATCGGTTAGGCTACTCGATGGCTGCGGCTCGTATTCCGCCTGTATAAACGGGCCGACTTAATACTAAGGTCCTTTCTTCAAAAGGCCAACCCAGACCCTTTACTGCGCTCACATAATTCTTTTAACACGGACTTAAAAAAAGACACCTCTGTGGTTATTTTCGGCGTTTCTTCCTTTTCTCGTTAGTCTTCGTTAGTTTCGTCTTAGGAAATGCCGGCGCCTTCTATCTGTAAAGTTCGACTTGTATAAATATCTGAAAAGATTTACCTGCAGAAATAAATATCATTTCATGGAACAAAACACGTTTATTTTCCCTTTTAACGGCCGTCTGCGTTTTACGGGAACGACACTACACGATGGCTAAATTGATTTGGGTCGAGACCGATGCGACAGGTCTAAATGAATTGTGCCGTAATAATGCGGGATTTTGCAAAGGTCACAAATATCTAAGAATATGGAAGAAAATTTATTTTTCACCACATTAAGAAGCTATTATTTGTTTTAGGCTATTATTGTGATGGTGAATGCGTGTGTACCCAGTATGATGCCAGCCGACTTCCCGTACGCGATCGGCCTTAAAAGATTCCATTGTGGCATATTAGCTTTTGCACTCATAATATACCTAATGAAATTAGGCCTCCGTCTTTTAAGATTAAACACATTGAGACGATAAGAGACTGTGAGAGATATGTATATTTATGTATAATTGTGTAACTTCTTCAAACCTTTAAGAAAAGTGCATACTCCTCCCTCAAAGGCTGCTTCTTTCTGAGTTGTAGGCGTTCATGGCCGGCGGTAGTCGCTTTCCATCAGGTGACCCGTCTGCTCGTTTGCCCCCTATTCCCTTTTTTTATTTGCCCTAAATTTTATAAATATAGAATTTATGTGCTTACTACATCTATTAAAAAGTTTATAATCAAAGATATTTCTACTGACATGAATATTTGTCAGTAGATTATCAACATTCTGACAGAATATTTGAAATCCTAAAGTAGAGATCAACGGTAGTAGTTAACCGAAGGACTGTGCTAGTATCTTCTTCAATAAGAGATTACGAAAAAAACAATGTATGGAAAAGTCGGATACCTTTAGGAAACTTCGGGCATTTTAATGCCAAAATCTGCTTCTCGCACAGTTTAGTCGTTTATTGCAGCTACCTACTATGTCATTTAAAATTTGAATAGACAAAGCGCCTGAAAATATAATTACAGCAAACCCACCGCAGCACTAGTACAAGTATTTGCAATTGTTTGGTGGGTACTTACTTAAACTTGTTTTAGTAAGTACTTCAACTAAAACTAATATACTTGATACAAGATGATACAATGCAACAATGTTTGTCTGCTGATGTCCTGAATCACCAGTGCAAAGATTTATGAGGACGATTGGAATGTGCATATTAGATGTTGTGCATATTCAAAATATCTGTAGTCTATATACATTATAATTGAATACATATTTAATGAGTCTATTGCCACTTTGAATGGCAATTCTAATTATCTGTGCTAGCAAAAGCCCAGCCTTCTGATCACGAGAAGTGTTGATCAGTTGCTTAGCTAGTTGTTTATACATAGTACGAGCACTCGGACCCTATGACCCTAGCGTTTCGAACCCGAATGGTTCAAAAATGTTATTTTTCACTAAATTTTGGTATTTAGGTACTCCGTTTGCGGATTTGTGCAGATGCAGCAGCAGCAGATGTGCAGATAACCAGCTGTGCTTAGGTCTTTATTGTATGATAAATCTACATACCCCATCATCATCATCATCTCAGCCGAAAGACATCCACTGCTGGACTTAGGCTTCACCCAAGGCTCTCCACAATAACCGGTCCTGTGCTGCCCGCATCCAACGGCAACATACCATGAATTATTTGCCAATATATTATTTTTCATAAATACGCACTATTTTCTAATTTCCCCATTATCGTCTCAATGATATAATGCAGGTTTATATGATGCTATTTGATCTAGTTCAACTAACTACGTAATATTAAGAGCTCATATCTTAAAGCAAAGTATTTACTTTAATTTGAATTTGAGCCAATGGGAAATACGGTGGACAGATTTAATATGAGCCGGCAAACGCTATCTCCGGCATGGCTCAGTGTGAGATTTAGAATAATCTGCTTATTTAATACTCCGTGTCTCGTTTCAATTTCAGTACGATTACATAATCTAATAGTGTCGTCTAGGTATGATATTGTAGCACACTAGGTGAATATTCTTTCTCAGTAGGATCTCAATCAGGAAAGTTTTGTATTTACAGCAGATTACCGAAATTAAGCATTCTTAGATGGGAATATTTATTATATTGGGGTAAACTTTTACAATTTCTTTTCTGAGCACTAAATCTTTAAACGAGCTTCCACTGTCAATCAGGAGGATGACGGATGACGGTGGAGAGTGGCTTTGAAGTTTGGACGTCCAAAATTTAAGTTATTCCAAATTGACTTCATCCTATTGAAAACATTTTATATTTCAAAAGAAATTCAGTAAACCTTTTCACATACATCACAGTAGTACGGTGTATTTTATTATTATGTGTTAGTAGTCTTTGATGGGTTGATGTGCTACAATATAGAATCTTCGCACCTTTTTTCCTTGAAAGGAATAACCAAAAGTATATGATATCCAACCGCTATACGGTATTAACAGTAATATTCAATATCACTGCAAAATATCTAGATAAATCACGCTAAGATCACCACTGAAGCATATTCTGTTTCAAGAACATTGACATCTTTTGAAAACCGTAATTACTTTTAATATTAACAAAATCAAAATATTAAATACTATACGTTAAAGACTAGTCAGAAGAGAACAAGTCAAAAAGGTTATGACAGTGCAACACTGTATTTGTAATAGGAAGCAAAAATCCAGCTCTTACCAGGAGCCAGCAAAATTACCAGAATATTAATAACAATAATATAATATTCTGCCACGTTCACACAACGCTATCTAGTCCCAAACCAATCAGAGCTTGTACAATGGGTATAAACAACTAATATAAATATAAACACCCAGACTAAATCAAACATTAAATGTTCATGCACACAAATGTTTGACTTAAGCGGGAATCGAACCCGCGACCTTTGGAATAGCAGTCCGATTCGTCCGGTCGTCAGCGTCGTCGGTATGGGAAAGAAAAATTCTTAGGCCAAAATATTTTGTGATTATATAGGCTGACAACTTGGTTGAAAACAACACGTTAACTAGGTACTTGGTTTTAATATATATAAGATAAAAAATATTATGACAAATTTTATAAATTAAAATTAAAAAGTCACAAAATGCTAAAAGAACTAAAAGTACAAAAATAATAATTAAGTATGCTCAAGTGAATGTTTTACAATTTAAAATCATTACTTCCAGGTTATACCAAGTACGAGTGGGCCTTCGTGTATCGCCCAAGGTGCCGGTGCATATCGAGGCCTCAATCTCCAGTGGCAGCGCTCCTGCCCGCACCGGGCGTCCTGCCGCCAACGCATCGCTCATCGGTGGTCTGGCAGCCTCCAGACCCTTTCAAATCATGTACAGAAATGAAGAAGTTACGCTTAGAGACATCGTGCATTTTAGAGCTCATTTACTAGGTAAGGAAGAAAGGAATTATTCTGGTTTAGTAAATCTAAAGATTGAGAAAAAAATATTTGTTAATTGCTTTGAAAAATAACTTTAACGGTATCTGTAATAAACCCATCCTGATGAATGTGTACAATAAAAGGGGTTCGCCAGAAAGATGATATCTGCATACCGCATACTAAATTGTACAAAAGTGGGGCACTAGTAGCGTAATTAGCAAGCTAATCTAAGTCTCTTTGAGCAGAACTTATTACATACTTAGGTATATATATTCAATTCTAAATATCTAAAATACATATTCCATTTTTGTTCCAATATTTTATTCTGATATACGCACATATGGACTATAAAAACAACACTGCTAAAAATCTTCATCGATATCTTCAGTGGACAGTCGGAATCTCAAAGAATCTTTAGAGAGAGCAGAATGGAGTCTTGGAGTAGAGTTATGGTGCAGCGAGGGTGCGCAGTCGAGCACCCTGGCTCCAGTATCCTGTCGGGTACTAAAGCTGCACTTTCAGCCGTCGCATGGTCTTCATTACCACCTGCCGGTTCTATTCGACTATTTCCATCTGTCGTCAGTCTCTATCACTATCCACGCAAGTCTAGTTGCCTTACATCAACCATATATCAAGTAAGTAGATAAACTTCCGTATTCGAATGGAATCGTTTTATATATAAAGTCGTCGTCCTTGTCATCGTAATCTTCCTCGATATGAACATAAATAAAACAATATAAGGAAACCCACTTTCGAAAATTGCTTAAGCATTAAAGTACAAGAAACATAATTTCGCCACACTTTATATCCGGATTTACGATTATTATCTTTTCAATCCAGTAAAATTGGCATCGAGGCGTCAATTGTATAGATTTAAATTCCCTCCATGATCATATGTCTGCAGAATTAACAATTTCATGAATCGCAAACTTGACATTCAGATTATATCTGTGGTACTCCATTGAGTTATCGCTTAACAAGTTGCCTGCTTTATGCCTTATCTTTGTGCCTTTTACAAATTGTTGTCAATAAAATAACCACAAGACTTGCATGCATAAAATGATTAAAAAAATATATTATTCGATAAACTTAATGTTGCAATTGTTTTCACTGTTGCTTTCAAAGGAAAAGTATCATGCATTACGTACAAAGCTGGTAAGTGTTCATGACATTCGTACGCTGCGACTCCATTATCTGATCCGTAATTAAAGGTTCAAAAATGTTATTCTTTTGCAGTACGCCTCGTTCGAGTAAGCAATGGGGTAAATTGATGAAAGGATCAGGATCTAACTTTAATACGTCAGGAAGCTTTGAAAATGTGCTTTTTGGTTCTGCCGGCAAGTGTGCAGGGGGAAACTCCAGTAAAATTGCACATGCCAGGTACCAAACCTACTTGTTTGAAATAAAAATTAATGTATAATAATGGGAATTAATTGCTACTTACTTTTTTTAGGCAAGTCCATGCAGAAGTATGCGGTATCCTGTTAGGGTCCCTGGAGGGGTTACAAAGTGCGCTTGCAGTATGTGGATCGACTGGAGTGTTGCTCACTCCAGAAGAGTCGTCCTCTAACTCCGTTATAGGAGAAGTGGCGCAACGCCTAAAAGATCTTAATGATTTCGGGAAGGTAAGGAAACATTTACGCTTTAATTTATAAGAGATTAGAAGAAAGAGAAAAAAATGCATGAACATGCATAGCTGAAATATTTGCTGAAACGTTACAATTATAATCAGAATTTACAGAAATCTGATTACGGTGAGGAAGAAGAATGGGCGATGAGCGCGGCTCACGACATTGCTAGGCTGTGCGCTGAGGTGACACTGCGTTGGCGAGCTTTTCTGCACCACACGACAGACCGGCCACACGTACACCACGCTCTCGCAGCTAGGCATCATGCTTTACGGTAAATACTGTTTTAACAATAATAACTTTGTTAATTACTAAATTGAATAACTATCACCTGACTATTTTAATAGGTTACCGCAGATTTGTGGTTTTAATATGTAATTTACTATTGTTAGCTATTCAAGAACGCTGAGACCCTAAACGTGTGTGTGTATTCTCGTCTAACAATCAATTTTCAAGCCATAACATGTATTATATTTACACTGTAGGTGTAACTTTTGTGTAGTCACAAGCTCACACATCTGTTGAACATAACCATAGTTTTATAAAGAAATAGATTTCTGACACTCAGTCGCTTTTTATCTCTATACATATTACATAATACATATTTCTATATGTTTTATAGTCTATGTAATTATCTAGGTAAATTACCATTTCTTGCAAGGTCAATTGGATCAAAGTTAAAACAATTAAACCCTACATGTATCTACTGACCGGTGTTTCTGTGCTGCCACAACATAAAAAAATCTATTCAAATATCGCTACTAGAACTATATTTTGATGTTCTTTTAATCATAAGTAAATCCGTACTGAATTATAACTATACCATTACCAGAATAAAACGTTTCTCCGAATGTTTCTTCGTGCTGGACAACCCACGACACTCGCTGGCCGGTTGCTACGATAGCAACTACCAGTCATACCAGAGTGTAGGGGAAGTAGCTCGGAGGTCAAGATACTTGGCATTGTTACCTCCGCTACCAGTTCACTGCATCGCATTGGATGGAGACCCGCATATCATGCCCATCATTTTTGAAGACAGGTAATAAATTAATACAATTATTAAACTTAACGGCTTTGAAAGCTCTAAACAAATATATATGTGAACTAGTAATTGAAAAGAAACGAAACCCGAGTGCTTGAAAATGTACCTACCTATACTTAAAATTTACAAATCAGTGATTTTAATTCCTATAATTTATTTTCATATACCTAGTGTCTGCAGTGTGGTCAGAATCTAACGCACTTCAAAAGTCAAAATCCATTAAGCAGTTTATTCTGATTACGTACTGACACTTGAAGGTTTGTATTTGTATTAATATAAGGAATAAAAAATTTACAGGTATCAAGATACAGCAGAATTTGCCAGACGTCGCTCATTTTTAAATTCTAATGCAAACAAATCTGGTAGCGGTAAGTAAAGATAGCATAATTCATCAATATAAATAATTTAAAATAATTTAAATAATTATTCGCTTTTTGTTTCAGATCCCTTTCTATGTTCAGAACCTCTTGGAGAGGACTGTGCTTGCAGCATTAGCTCTCTTATGGACTCAAGAAGGCCCTCATCGGAGGCTTCAAGAGTTACTCTTACACTACCCAAAACAATTATGGACGTACTAGAACCACAATTTAACACTCCAAAGTCTAATGCCAGTGTCGTTCAAGCAACTTTGACATTAGCTCCTCAAAAATCTGCCCGCGGGTCTCCTAAGAGAACTTTAGTTAAACAAAATGTAGTAGAAATGAATAAACCGCATAACAAGCAACTGGAACTAACAGGAAGGAATAGATATATAGTTCAGAACAATCAAATCAGCGAAATCCAGCTTCCACCGAATAGTGCGTTTGCTTCATGCCCTATACAACAAGGGCAACAAATGTCGCGATATTCCGCTTCAACATTGCTTGACATAAATGCAGCTAAACTTGCATCGAATGTTTTACAGGCAGACAAAGAGACTAGAAGTAACCAAAACGAAGGTTTACGGCAAAGACATGAAATTACGAGTGGAGTTAGTACATTACCGGCTAGACATAGCAAGTCCCTAGATCAACTTAGAGTATCACAACTAGCGCCTCTTAATACTGCTCAAACATTAACAAAGAACGTTAGAAATAATTCAAACTCTTCTGTTAATTATCCGAAACAATATTTACCACCACAACAAATCAAACCAACAACATTGCCAAGAAGTGTTACAACTAGTGCTTATCCAACAAATACGACGACTAGATGCAAAGGAGATGATTATAGAAGAAATATAAGCGAGTTTAGAGAAAAATTTAAGAATCCGAATATCCCGAATGTCAACCCTCAAGGAGTTAGCAATGAAGTGTTCCATAATGTAGGTTATAAGTACGATGGAGGGATAAAAGGTAATCCTAACCAAGTGTATGGCTATACTTTCGGTAATCAGGGTAATATGCAAGTGAATAATGTTATTCGTAATCCGTTAGAGTTTCAAAGAGGCTACAGTGTAAATTTACCCCGTCCCATGTTGCCTCCACGTAATTCTTACCCACCGGTTAGTGGTAAAAATCAAGTGACTGATCAAAGTAACTTAGTTTCTAATAAACACGTGCATAGATCAAATTCTACTCACGTGTTCCATCAAAAAGAAAATTCACATATAGACATTGAAGCCGCTCGTAACCAGCTTAGACATGAGCTCAACTATTATTTACAAAAAGGCGACTGGAGTTACGACTTCAATACGGGCAGTTTAATACAAAACTATCAAAAAAAATCTAGCAAAAGCAGTGATGACAGTGGATTTGTAATGACTTTAGATAGAAGTAGTGACGGAACTTCTAAATCAACCTATTCCAAAACACCACCATCTACACCACATTCTACAATGCCATCTATACGACATAAAAAGAGTCGATCAAAAGAATCTAAATTAAATAATAGTGGAAAAGAACCCGCAAAATTAAATTCCAGTAGAGATTCGTTAAGCAGTCATCATTCTATCAAATCCAGAGATAGTAAATCAGATCGCCATACATCAAAATCCGAGCGGAGCACGCCAAAATCTGATAGAGCAACGCCAAAATCAGGAAAGTCTACCCCCAAATCTGGTAGAATTACCCCAAGATCGGGTTTAGCGACTCCTAAGTCCGGACGAGCCACACCAAAATCTGGTGCACAGACACCAAAAAGTGGAAGATCCAGCGGTAAACCTGAAAAAAAAACAAAATATAAAGCTTCGGAGAAAATGACACAATTAATGTCAGAAGCTGCATCATCGTCTAGCAATGAAAGTATTCCCTTTGAACTTCGAAGACTAGAATCATCTGCTAGTGTTCCATACAGTCTAGATCACGGGCCAGAACTGTTGCGGCACTGTAGAAGTGCAGCATCTGTTTTAGACGAACCTAACCTAAATAATACATTTGGTTCCGAATCTTTACCTAATTTAGCACCTCCGCCCGCGTTCGAATCGCCACCACTTGATATTGGAGACAAGGACTTTAAGATTCTACCTCCTGAAAACTTTTCCAACAAAGAAGAAAAACGTAGCAGAAGCAACTCGACCTCGAGTTTAAGTGAACAGAGTGGATGGGTATCGAGTGGACGAAGTTCAGGCCCATCTTCCCCTGATAATGCTAGTTGTCAATTAAATAAAAATTATCCTCCTGTGAACCCCTCAGTGTCTAAAATCAGTAGTAAAAGTTATGAGGACACAAAAGAAAACCGAAACACTGAAGGCGAAATTATAAGTGATTTTAAAAGGACTAGTCTCAATGGAGATCAATTAAGAGAAAGATTACTAAAACTAGCAGTAAAAGTTGCTCAAAATAATTCGAATGAGAAAATCGAATGTTGCGATAAAGAAGTATGCGAAGAATGTACTATATGCAGTGATTCTATATGTACAGACAGCCAATGTGAGTACAACAAATTAATGCACAGCAATGGCGTAGATGCCGGTTGTAACTCTGACACCTGCACAGCAAGTTGTTTTCAACAAATGGCTGACATGAATGGAGGTAAAACAAGTCAAAGACACAACTCCTTCAGTGCTACACAAGGAAAAACATACAATTCAACAGGTAGATCACAAAGTGAAGGAGCTGTCAAAAAATCTCAAACAATCAGTGATAATCTACACCCTTACATAAGAAAAGAGTTGCCTAATAAGGCACCACAACAGCCACAAGAGCAACCTCCCTCTAAATCGTCAACATTACACAAGACGAAATTAAAAGATAGAATACAATATACAGAGAAACTAATTGCTGCAGAAATACTAAGTCTAGCAGTAGACCGTTCGTGTAAGAGTCATAATGGCAAAAAAGTTAGCCCAGCAGCGGCTGTACAACAATATTCAAATAAAGCTAAATCTGAAGTAAATTTAGCACGTTTCGCAGGTGATAATGATTACGAGCATCTCCCACCACCACAACAGTTTAGAGATGCTCCACCACCTCCTGACGAGTTTAAGGTAATTATTGCTCGATATTTTGTCTATAAATAGGTTATTCTTATAAGACTGTCAACATTACTATCTTTAAAGAAACACCAAATAGGTTTAACTTACGTTTTGAACGTTTGGTAAACGCATAAAGTTGTTATTGTGTATTGTTGTAGGACCCTCCATCAAAGTCACCGAAATTAAGTAGACAAAGCAGCAAATCATCTACTCCTTCAAAAACGCCGAGGAAACAACAACCACAGCCAACAACACTTCAATTAGACAATCCCTTATATCACGTGTGTGAAGGTATACCTACATTAATAATTATTTGTGTACTCGTATTTTAACAATATACAGCTTTTGCCACTAACACCATCGCTTGGCTTACAACAGGTATAATGGAGAGGCGAAAATTACGTCCTCACCAATCAGTGAATTCTACCAGTACGGCGCCTGGTAGCACGCTTAATAAAAGCCAGAGCACCGGGGAATTGGCTAGCAGAAGCGAAGGTGGAAACAACATTGGTATATTTATAAAACATATTTCTAATTACTGCTTTAGATTTTTATTTATTTATTTTGAGAGAAGATATATCTTTTTATTTAAAGTGATAAGAGATAAGAAATCCATCTAGTATGTTACATAATGTTAATTCTTTGTAATGCATTATAATGGATTAATACAGTAGTATTTAGAAGCAATCAATTAGGTTATTATAAACAAATAACTATGGCTTGGTACTTTTGCTATTTATAACTTGGAAGTTATGTGCGTTAGTTGAAACAAGAAATAATAAATATGTAATGTTCTTCACCCAGATGTTAACATAATCGGTGTTTTAGGAAGAAGTAAAAAAAATAGTGTTTAATATTTTTTGTTCTTCTTCCTTCCTTATAGCATCGTGGACGAACTAACCGTTTGCAAAGTTCAGTCGATCGATTGAAAACAAACGTTTTATATAGTTAAATATAACTTTGTCCTTACTTACTTACCTTTTAGTAAAACTATAATTCTTTAATAATAATCCATTAATTTCCCAGCAGAATACTTAGACCTTTTATGATTTCAATTTTAGAACGAGAAAGCAATCTAGTCAGCATATTCGGCCTAGCGGAGTCTGAGAGGCTATTCGTCAAATGCCGGGAGGAGTTTAGGCAGAGCGTCAAGTATCCTGGCGCTATATACTCCGACTTCCCTCCCATAGAAAACCCACTGCCATATTTCCATATCAGCGATGAATATAGAATGTTCAATCCTGAAGGTAAGATCAACAAAACTTACTTGAAATGTAACAGTTTTAGAAAACGATTATTTGAAAGAAAACAACATACAGGAATACGTACATCTTTACATTTCAAAATATATAAAATTAAAAAGTAATTACGATTTATCTATGAACGGATTATAAACTAAATGCAAGTTTGCAGTATAACTTTTAATCCGTTCGGAAGTCACCTGGGTATAGTCAAGAATTCAGTAAAGTAATGAAATCGAAGTCGAAATTAGGCTGGAAGACACCTTTACAACTTCTTATTTTACAGGCCTACATCTTATCATCTGTGTGCACGGTTTGGATGGCAATGCAGCGGACCTGCGTCTCGTAAAAACGTACTTAGAACTAGGTTTGCCCGGAGCAAGATTAGACTTCCTAATGTCTGAAAGAAACCAAGGCGATACTTTCTCCGACTTCGAAACGATGACAGATAGGTGAGTATTGTTATATCATGATTGTTAGAAAAGACAATATGAATGACAAGAACTAACTTAGGCAAAAAACTTTTTATTGGGTGAAGGTTTAGTAAAAACATAATAAACTTTTTTACCAACACTGCTGCGTTATATTATAGCTCCTTATAAAAAGGACCATTTTGAATTTCTCGATATTGCATTGTATTCCACTTGAGAATCCTAATGGTTTGGTTAACAATACTTACAAAAATGTAATAACTGCACGGATGGCGCATTGTATAAGCGCTCGCCTGGCCGCTTCCTACTACGCTGAGGGTTGTGGGTTCGATCCCCACATGAGAGAATACTTTGTGTGATCCACAAATTATATTATTGTTCTGAGGCTAGGCTGACTGGCTTCTTTGTGTGCGTTACATTAATGTTTGTAAAGTCCCTCGCGATAAATTCTTAGTGCGGGAGTTGTCTTTTTAAACCATTAAAACATATTTTGACCAAAGCAATGTTTCTCTTTACAGACTCGTACAAGAGATCTTGAACCACATTCAAAATTCAAGTGATCCAGCCAGGATAAGTTTCGTAGGTCATTCGTTAGGAACTATCATCATCCGTTCTGCATTAGCGAAACCACAGATGAAGCCGTTTCTTGCAAAATTACACACGTTTCTGTCATTGAGTGGACCGCATCTTGGAACATTGTACAACTCTAGTGGCTTAGTCAATGCTGGTAAGGACACATCTACAGCATCATGCGATGATTCCCGGCATCTTTCAAAGTTGGGAAAACTACGTCACGTTCTAACTAACCTGCCAATTATGGTGTCATGACAGGTCTTTATATGTCTTTTACTGGTCACTTGGATATTTTGATTGTCTAGAATGATAAAAAGTCAAGAACTAACTAAATATTTAGTAATAAATGACATCGAAATTTAATAAGAAATTAAATTTTCAGGAATGTGGTTCATGCAAAAATGGAAGAAGTCCGGGTCTTTGCTCCAGCTTTCTCTCCGTGACAGCTCGGACCCTCGACGGTCCTTCCTCTATCGTTTAAGTGAAAGAAGTCAGCTGCACCAGTTTAAGCACATACTTCTTTGTGGTTCTGGTCAAGATCGTTATGTTCCACTGCATTCTGCAAGACTCGAGCTGTGTAAAGCTGCCGCCAAAGATACTTCGCTCTTGGGACAGGCTTATAGGGAGATGGTATGTTACATTTAAAGGGAACGAATTCACATGTTATAAGGACGTAGGGGACACACATTTTATTGATTCCTCCCTTACATATTTCCTTTTTATGCCTATAATGACTATACGTCATTATAGGCATAAAACGGTTTTTTTTTTATGTAAGAGGGGGCAGACGAGCAGACGGGTCACCTGATGGAAAGTGACTATCGCCGCCCATGAACGTCTGCAACTCAGGAGTCATAAACGCGTTGCCGGCCTTTAGGCAGGAGTACGCTCTTTTCTTGTATGTTTGAAGGTCGTGTCAGTATCAGATTGATTGTGCGGGGCAAAAAACGGAACAATTCCTCGGAGCACTCTCCATGATATATGCGATAGAGAATGCAGAGTGAAGCCACATCTCTACGTATCGCCAAGGGATCGAGCCGATCGGAGATGTTTGGGCTATCGACGATTCGAGTCGCTCGTCGTTGTCCCGAGGGAGAAGCTGGTACTGAGGTGCCCCTGCATAGAGATGAGAACAGTATTCCATATGCGGCCGGACTTGCGCAAATACACAATAAAAGTCTTTATAATAACAGTCGTTAAGAATATTTAATTCATAAAATACAACAAAAGCTGGTATTATTTTACTGATGAAAATTTGCTGATTTGGTGATGGTAATGTACTAAATGTTCTTCTTCTTAGGTGTGAGAACACATCCCGAGACTAAATAATTATTCTAACAAGTTGTTGACTCTCTTTGACTTAAGAACAAGACATAACAAGTTTTAAATATTCGAT